AATTTCTTTATTAAAAAAAAATTCCTTTCTATAAATGCCTTTCCATGTGATACGATTAGAAGCATTTTTGATATTTTCCATGCCTGTATCTAGTGAAAAGTAGAGACAACAATGGGAAGATAAACATATTAAGAAAAAAAATCTAGTACCAGAAGCAAAACATTTAAATATTATGTTTTCCTTGTTTTTCAGAAAATTATCCCAAAAGTAAAAGTTTATCATAAACTTTCTGTAAAATACATCCATTACGTGTTAATACCATGAAGACATTTGTCTGGAATCTTCTAGATTCGTGGGTCCGTAAATCTTGCCTTAAAATCCTTCTAAACATTGCAAGTTGCAGAGTCTAAAATCCTGAAGAAAAATTACCCCAACCAATTCTGTAACAGCAAAAAGGCTGAAATATTTTTTTAAAAAATCAGAGGAAAAAGTATAAAATTAATTTCATACAGAAAACTGATGCATATTGAGACAACTACATAAGAAAAAATTTCACAATGAAAAAAATTACAACGAAGGCAGTTTTAATTAATTACATAGCTATTTTGCTTTTGCTAAGAATTTGTTCATAAATTGTGCTAAAGCGGAAAGCATTTATTACCTTGTTTATTTTTGAGATTCAAAACATTGTATAATAAGTCGCCAAAATCGAAAGTAATGTCACTTTATATGATAGCGAAAAATAAAAATGTTTAATTTAAATGTTATTTCTTGAATACAGTTTCAATGTATTAGCATTATTTTAATGAAATTGATCAAAGTTATAATATTTAAAAAACATATCGTCGAAAAATTCCCAGATTTCCGAATTAAAAGTTTTCTATAGAAATTGATCTTAAAATCGCCAAAATATTGATAAGTCGCCAAATTTGGAACCGTCTAATAAAGAATTCACATTCCCAAACGCAAAATATTGTTTAAAAGCTCTTAATAATAATAATAATAATAATATAAAAAAATAATAAAAAAAAAAATACTTTTCCGTTTTGTCGGCGCAAATCTCACCAAGCAGACAAAGACTGGGAACAACATGCAGTATACACATAAAAAATCTTAACAAATGTTAGTTCTAAGAATTTTTTATTTTGAAGGCATAAATATTTAAATATCGTTTAAAATTTTGTAAAAAGCCCATAAATAAAGACAATAAATTTGTAAAAAGACATTAATTTAAGAATTTACTATGCTTAAGACACAATAACACGTCGATTATAGATAGGAATAATTATAGATAGGAATATCAAGATAGGAATTATTTCCTATCTTGTTCATTTGCGGTTTTGCAGCTGAGGATGGTGGTTCGGTAAAACCATCGAAACTAGTCCTGTGAAAATTTTAAAAATATAACGCTGATTTTTGTTGTTTGACTTCTGAATTAGTAATTTACTATGCTTTCATGGTTCAACATCCTGATTCGACGGTTCATATCACGTGAACCCAAGTGATCTCATCTCACGTAAATTACGCTACAAAAATCTAATTCTCTCAGTAATTATCAGTGGCGTAGCTAGGGTGGGGCAAGGGGGGACATCTGTCCCCGGGCGCAGCATCCAGGGGGCGCCAAATTAATGCTACGAAATATTTTAAGGAAATGTTTTCCATTCTTGGCACACAGAAAGGGGCGCAAATTCTTCAGTTGACCCCGGGCGCTGGAAACTCTAGCTACGCCCCTGGTAATTATCTACATTAATTTCAAGTTAAATCTTAATTTGGAATACAAGTTTAAATGCACGAATTATTTCAATTCGTACGAATAGCTTACTCAGAAATTATGTAAAATTTTGTGTGTTTACTTCGCTAGTGTATTCTTATCAGAATTGATGAATTTTAACCCTTGATTTTGCCTTTTCTATATTTTCGCCTTCGGGTGGGCAGTGTGATTGCATCCTAATTGACTTAATTACGCGAATGGCCTTAGGGCATAAAACTGAACTATCTCGTAAACATTCTGTGTAATTGTATGTCAGTATTGAAAGAAACAATCAATCTGATAAGAAATGTCTGACTTGTTTTGAAAATGAGACGTAAAAGATTACCAGCGAGGATAATCAAAGTTCCCTGAAGATCGGCGGCTTTCGGATATTCCGTTTGGCATCAGCTGTACCATTATTGGTGACTTTATCACCTGCGCCGGCAAAATGGAAAAGTACCTAATTTTGAAATGCTTATGCTTCACTTCTTTCTCAGAAACTTGAGTATTCCACCGTTTATATTAGAAATAGCAGCAAATTATAACCCATGAACCTATTCACCCATTCAATTTGTCAATGAATCGTCAAAAATGTTTGTCCAAAATGCTAATTCACATTCAGAATGGCAGTCATAAAAACAGACAGAAATTTCAGATGATTAAAATTAAGGACCTCCTGCCGAATTTCGTCGAAATTAAGGACTTTTAAAGACCAAAAATCGATTCCAAAAAACTTAAGGACTCTTAAAGACCGTACGAACCTTGATTTGTGAAGCAAGGTGTAAGAATCAGATGAACAGTACTCAAAGTTAAACTTTTCATTCTCCCATAAAATTGTATAAAATGGCAGAAATAGGCACATTTTATTATATTGAGAACATAATATGAGATGCCCTTTTTGTGGGGATGATCATGATAGAAATTTGTGTAGGGGAGAAGAATTGTTTTGAGTCAATCAGTAATGCTAACTTAAATGCACGATATGACATCGCCCACGAGGCATTTTCAAGTTGTAGTGTATGTAAACGTAAAGCGATTTTTATAAAATTTTTACAATTAGATTTGAAGATTTTAGTGATTTTAACTATTTTTAGGCGTTTCAGAATTTGATTTTAATTTTGTTTTAAACGACATATGTTTTTAAATAATGCTATATTTTGGTTCAGGAAAGACTGTTGAGCCCCTAGTTCTATGCATTCTATTTTTTCTTGTTCTATATTTTAATTTTATTCCTCAGTATTTGAAATGAACATTTTAAACACTAATTTAAATCATTGCTTGGTGGCCACATATTAGGTATCTGCTATTGATGATTAAAGCTAACAGATATTATATTCTTTCAGGAGCCATATTCCATAGATGACAAAATTGAGCGTGTTAAAAACAGTTGTAGAAGTGTGTGAGGTAGAACGCCATCATAATCAAGACCTGAATATAAAATATTTTGTGGGTGTTGTCACAGACTGTGAGGGTGGCATAAGTAACTATAAAGAACATTTGGCTTTGAGTTTGATTTCTATCTGTTTCTCGCCGGCTGAGTAATTGGAGCCACATTTACTGATATTGGAGGATATTTTTAAATTATATGTTACTACGAGTATTTATTATTCCTGGTGGTTTTAATGCTAAATATTTTTTTAAATAAGACTCTCCCTCAACTTTCTTTTATTCTCGGCCTGCAAGGGATAGATGGATTTGATGCTCGGATCCTCCGACATTAGTGCTCTTGATGTTAATTTTGATGCCTGGAAAGAGAATCTTTGAGCGATCATATTTTGATCAGCATTAAGGATTAAGAAAGAAACACTATTAAAAAAATTCTGGTGATTATAGTAAAAATATTTATAGAATTTAGAGATTCTGCTACAAATTAATAAAAAAAAGCTATAATTACTCTGACACATTGATTAATTATAATAAACAACGTGAAAAAATCTAACGATTTTATAATAGACTTCTAAAGATTTTTAGCTCAAAGGGCTTTAACATAGAAGGGCTATTAATTTCAATTTGGCATTTTGCGTCGAAAACTTTAAATGTCAGTTTCACTTTTCAAATTGTTGCCACCAAATATTATCGCCCTGTGTTATATTTAAAGAAATTAAGGTACTTACGTATTATCGCAACCAGGTTGACGCTATTCGTAAGTTTTGACGCTATTTGTAAGTTTGAGTAAAAAAGGATGAATAGAAAGAAAATATGCATTTATTAATTACAGATAATTTTAATACAGTTTTATATATTATTTTGTTTTAAAATATAAAATAGCAATTAAACCCTTCCGGTTTCGAATTTGAATAAGTTGCAGAATTATTTTTTCGGCGGAAATCTTTTGGCTATTGCTTTTAGCACTGATTAAAAACCGTATTCGTCATAACCATGTACACGTCGACTTATTTTTACTTAAAAAAACATCCCAGAATTGCACAAAAATGGCATTGCGCACACTCTTCACTTTATCCGTGTACACTGCTATTTTCTCATAAATTACAAAAATTTGCACGAAAATGCAGGAAAATTTTGTGAATCTACACATGCTCTTTTTACAAAACTACCTATAACACGTAGGGTTGCCGTAAGTAGGGTTGCCAAATTTCGCAATTTATGCGAATTTTGGCCTGGTTGCGTTAATACGTAAGTACCGAAATTAAATAATGAATAACCTGCATAAATGTATCTATGTTTTTCGCATTGTTATAAAACAACGGTACCCAGAGCCACTAAATTTTGAATAACATAATTCTCCACCAAAAATGGGCATCTGGCAGCCCTAATTTGGAATTTGTTTTATTATCGATTTCATATTTTGTAACACTTTAACGAATTTTTGATTAACAAACTGAACGAAAGCCCGAATTGGAAATCAGGAATTTGTTTTATTATGTATTTCATATTTTGTAAAACTTTAACGAGTTTTTGATTAACAAACTCAATGATCTCAAAGCGAGCAATGGCAACACTATACGGGAAAAAAAAAAAAAAAAAAAAAAAACTCCAGCGCGCGAGACTGTGTATCGGAAATTCTACAGATATGCTAATTTTAAAATTATTTTGCAATATTGCTCTTGAACTGAATTTTATCGTTTAAGTGCGAAGAACATGATATTTAATAAATAAAGGTAATATAAAAAAACGTTAAAAAAACCGTAATGTAAAATCTGAAAGCTTTCAGCTTTTTTTAAAAATTAAAAATGAGAACTAAATTTTTCTGTATAGGATTTATTATTTCTATTATTATTAGTAGTAGTATCGTGCTAAACAAATTTACAAAAACTAAAATCGCGCTATGATCTGAAACTTGACTACTCACCAAATTGTGAACTGACAATGCTTGACGAAGCCAAGAAGAGAAACAAAGACAAAAACAGCTGAAATTTCATCGTTATTTCAATAATGAGGTAAAACAGCTAAATAAAAAGGGCTTGTAGTTCCTAGGGGGAAAAACAAAAAAACTCATAATTTTAAATCAGAAAAAAGTAGAAAAGTATCAGAAATGTTGTGAATAATGAAAAGATATGTAATTAACAAAATATTCTTTTTTCTGTTAAAGAGGCGGCATTTAGTGCCAAACATACACGTTGACGCGAAATCTACCTAGATGGAGCTCCGCTAACAGTACGTAAAGCTTCATGGAAAAAAAAATATATATATATATATATATCACTTGTATTAACAGAAATTTTTCGTATAATACAAGACTATATAAAAAACATAAATATTTATTTTTACACATTGCAGATCCAGAAAAAAAAAAAAAAAAAAAAAAAAAAAAAAAAAAAAAAAAAAAACACTTCTTGCTTAAAAAAATATGTAGTATTTTGATTCGCACCCAAGCATATATAGAGGGGACATTATTCGAACATGAAGTCCACATCACATTCGGCTGTTGTATTGGAGAAGACTGTTCAGTATTTACTTATTCTATGTCTGAAAATGCTGGTAATCAGATTTTGATACCGGTCGAAAGTTTCAAAGGCAGCTACGATGATAGCTGTTACAGGTTTCTACTCTGTAGAATAAAAATTTGAGCTTTCCAAGTGAAAGTTACATAAAAACTTCTTGTAACCTAAGTAGCACAAAGGAAATTAAGCAATTATATGGGTATTGTTTGATTATGACGAGGCACGCTAAGGCCATATGCTTAATGGGAGGTGCCTTCGTGGATGACTTGATTTCGTGGATGACATGATGATTGTTTGACTGACAGAAACCGACTCGTATCCACATTACTCATGGGGAAAGCCACCAAAGTGTAATCAACACGGGGAAAGCAACGTGTATGTCAAAGTGTATGTTGCAACGTCAGTGCATTCAGCCTGCTCCGATGGAATCCAGCCCAAGTCAAGGTATAACGCCATTACTTCCCAGTCTCCAAAACATTGGATTTGTGCCACCATCATAGGATTTTCACTAGAGAAAATCACGAAAGAATCAAGTGACTGAGGCTAAATCAGAATATTTCAGCCAATCAGGAGGAGGTAAGTGTATGAAGGATAGTAGCAAAAAAATATGGCTGACATGGCATTTGTCCTGCCATTAGGGTAAGTACCAAATCTTAAAAACTAGCTTTTCAAATGTTATTTTGCTCATTTTGGGCAGAATGTTCTTATGCACTTTACACTGTTATATATTGATTAAATTATTTTTTACTTTTATTCCTTGTTACTAACAAATATCAATACACAGGAAGTTTAATGGCGTCTGGCTTTTGTGCAAGTTGGAGTCCAATGCGTACAGCCCTTAGAGCGCAATAGTGCAAAATATTTATTCTAAAGGTAGAGATATTGATGGCGCACTTTGTCATTGTCCATCAAATAAGGCTCGCTTTAAACTGACCACACTTTTTATAATTAAATATTCCAAATTTCAATTATTGCCGGGTTTTTGAATAAAAACAAAACTAGATGTAATGTTATTATTCCATACAATTTAATGTACTAATATCAATAGCTAAAAAATGAAAATGACTAATAAATCACTTTCCTAAAACAATTCTTTAAAACTATTTTGACAGAAGCTGAAATGTTGTACGTTATTGCCAAGAATATATCGTCTCATTAATATTCTGACAAGTTTTATCGCATTCCATACTTATAGCTACAATTGCAATTTATAATTGAAGCTGCAATTGAACATTTCATTTATATTTTACCATTTTTATTACACTGCTTATTATATTTTAATGTAACAACATCTGCATTTCAAACTATGGTAACACAGAATATACCGTATTTGCCGGCGTATAAGACGAACTTTTTTCTTTAAAAATAGGTCTGAAAAACGGGATGCGTCTTATATGCCCATACTGTGTCTTATACGTCAATACTTATTGCTTCGATACGTTGTTTGTGAATGGGTCAAGCTTCATGGGATGCTGTGAAAACAGAGACAGTGGTTAAATCATTTAAGAAGTGTGGCACTAATGTACTGGACGGTACAGAGGACAGTTTGTTGTATGAGGACTCAGATGCTGATTTAGAAGAGGTTTCAGGTGACTCTTCATTTAGCTCTGGAGATGAGTATATGGGTTTTGACGAAGGAGATTAGAAGGTGTTCTTTCCCAGATAGATTGAGTATTTTCAGAAATTCTTACTTTGTATTTGTATTTAAAATACCGTAAAGTCATTATAATAATCAGTAATAAAGTTTTATCCTTCAAAAATGTGTACAAAAAGTGGATGCGTTATATACGCCGGCAAATACGGTAATTACAAAATATTTCATGGAGGAACATTAATAATAATTAGAACTATAATTATATCGCGGAAGAAAAGTGCGAAAATCACGGAACAGTCGCGAGAGGGAGGAGAATCAGGTAATTTCGCGAAACATTCGTTTCTTTAAATTTAAAATTTCTTAAAATAATAATAATAAATAATAAATAATTTCTTAAATTCTTTAAATAAACTTAAAATTTCGTATCTTAAGATGTACTCTAATGTTTGAAGGGAAAACAATTGCAAGATACGAAGAAATAACTCAAGTAACTAACTCATAAAGAGATGCTAAGCCTTTCTATTATGCATCTTGTATCTGAAATTTGTACATTGTTACGAATTTTGTATTTAGTTAGATAATTTTAGTAGAATTATAATTAAAATTGTTTTATTTTCTCGTGCAATGCAGCAGAAGACATATTTTAAGAGGAAGCTACGACGGAAAATAAAATATACAGGAGGACGAGCATTTAACGCTGAATAAAAGTTTATCTCGGTAATTTATATTTAAACTGAATAAATGTAATTGATTACTATATTAGCTGTAATCGTAATTCTATTCTTTTGCTTTCCAGAAATCTTGAGAAGCAGAAATTACCAGAGTCTCTCGCGACCGATTAAAGATATAAAAAGCCAGACAGAGAACATCTCATCTCAGTTGTTAGTTATTTACGTAGCCGCTGTAATTATTGTTGAGCGGATTAGCTTTTTCTGCGCTGCGGATTGCGTTCTATTTAACGTTTTAGTAGTTTAAAGTTATAGTTACTGATTATATTGTGTGATATTATAATATTGTACGAATATCTTTAAGGAAAAATGCAGCATTCTGTTATATTTCTTTTGATAAGAATAAATTTTATTAACCTTTTATTGGAGTTGTGCATTCAGTCAATTACGAACCGGTACGCACGCAGAAATATTTTTTTTGGCACAATGTCACAATCACGAATCTAAAAAACCGTAGTTTTAAAAGAAAAACTTGCTTGAAATGTTACCACATTCTTGGTTTTGAATAAAGTCAAATTATATCTTGACTTCTTCACAGTAATTTTATTATATACATCTCATAGAATACACATAATTTTATTTTATAATAATATGAGCTATCATGACATAACATAGAAAAGGATAAAAAAATAAAGTGTTTTATGCTATTTGTATATTTACTGGACATTCATGGGAAATTTTGATATTTGCAAAATCTTAGAAAATGCCTAATATTGTTTAAATTATAGTTTGATTTGAGATACAACACCGTGGTATGGTTTTTTGGTACTTTTCCGTTTCGCCGGCGCAAATCTCGCCAAGCAGACTTTGTTGGCGACAACATACAGTATACACATAAAAAATGTTAATTCTAAGAATTTTTTTTAATTTTGAAGGCATAAACATTTTAATATGGTTTAAAAATTTTGTAAAAAGCCAATAAATAAAGACAATAAATTTGTAAAAAGACATTAATTTAAGAATTTACTATGATTTCATGGTTCAAAATCCTGATTCGCCGGTTCGTATCACGTGACCCCAAGTGATCTCATCTCACGTAAACTACACTACTAAAATCTAATTCTCTCAGTAATTATCTACATTAATTTCAAGTTAAATCTTAATTTGGAATACAAGTTTAAATGCAAGAATTATTTCAATTCGTACGAATAGCTTACTCAGAAATTATGTAAAACCGCAGTGCTTTACTTCGCTAGTGCATTCTCATTAGAATTGATGAATTTAACACTTGATTTCGCCTTCGGATGAGCGGTGTAATTGCGTTCTAATTGACTTAATTACCGTGAATTGTCTTAGGGAATAAAATTTAAATATCGTGCAAAAATTCTATATTATTGTATGCCAGTATTGAAAGAAACAATCTGATAAGAAATGGCTTCAACTTGTTTTGAAACTGAGGCGTAAAAGGTTACCAGCGAAGATATTCCGTCTGGCATCAGTTAAACCATTATTGGCGACTTTATCGTTTGCGCCGGCAAAACGGAAAAGTACCGTTTTTTTTTTTAACTTCTTTTCTTTTCTTTTTTTCCTCCACTCCAGTTATGTAAATCGAATGGACAAACAAATGTTACGTTATAATCCGACGACTTTAAAAAGTAAAGCAAAAAGAATTGATACAAATCCTTCAGATGCTCCCTTTCAAATAAATAAATAAAAAATAGTCTTACATATTGATGTTAGCGACAAAGTATGAAACTTATTATTCAGTGCCTAGGCATTCTATAGAATGCCTAGGCACTGAATATAATGCTGGACTCTTTTAGGTAAAGTATGAAATATGAGAATTGTTATATACTTTCCCTAGGCATTGTATATACTACCTAGACATTCTATAGAGTGACAAATGCTCTTTAGGTGAAGTATGAAAAAAAGGTTACGATAAGATTATTTAAAAGACGTTTATTCATCAAAACTACAAATGCTATTTTGAAAAATTAATGAAAGAGTGGCATTAAAAAACTGTTATTTGAAATATGTAAAAAAAATAGTGAGATGATCTTGATACAATGTAATAAATTTGTATTTTCTATCTGGCTGAGACTGGGAATCAATAAGATTTACCTGACAACGGAAATTAAATTAGAAACAATCATAAGTTTCACAAAGAATGTCCTTTTTAGTACCTTTTTATTTTTTCTGGCAGGTGTCACAAAGGTAGTGGTACAGTCCAATATCATTAGGTGTAACGTTTTTGCATTTGGTTTAAA